ACATCCAGAGAGCACTGTGGATTCAAACAATGATGGATCTGGACTAAACTTGGCACAAATACTCAATATCCCTAAATGTGAACTCTGGTGGAGTTTTGGGAAAATAGACCTCAGCATTTGGGAGTTGTAGTTGCTGGATTTATAGTTCATCCACAATGAAATAGCATTCTGAACCTCACCAACAATAGAATTGGAACAAACTTCCCACACAGAACCCCCATGACCAACAGGAAATACTATGTTTTCTGATGGTCTTTGGCGACCCCTCTGACACCCCCTCGTGACCCCCACAGGGGTCCCGACCCCCAGATTGAGAAACACTGGTCTAGGAGGACCCCCAAACTGTGGACCTGTGATTTCAGGGGGAGTGCAACCCTGTCCAGCACAGGTTGTCACCCAATACCCCGGTCAGCCGAACGACTGACCTGGAGGACCTCTGTCTTGTCAGGATTGATCCTCAGCTTGTTCTTCCTCATCCAGGTCGCCACAGCAGCCAGTCACTGGTCCAGTATCCTCGGGGCTTTCACATTCACTTTAGAACACTGAAACTAAAATTCAAACCAATACACAGCTATTTTATTCTAATATAGGTTTTACTAGAATGGATTAACACAACGCTGCAGCATGAACACATTGTGGTGAGAAACTTAGAACAAGACCTATATGATGGATTAGTCCTTCACCATCTCTTAGGTAAGCTACCCTGTTTCCTCTCAAATAATACATACACGTGAAATAAGACATAGCAGGATTTTGAAGCGCAATATAAGCCATATTTTGGGGGAAACACAGTATTTTCCCTTGTTATTGAGAGTTCTGACTATGCTCCTGAATGGAGAGAAAGACATTATCAAAAGTGAAAAAACATGGGAGGTTTACAATCAAAAAGTGATAATTGAACTCATTTACTAAGCCAGGCAGAATACATAGTAAATGCTCCCTCTGCTCAAAAGGGCACCTGTTTCAATGACTTCTAGCATTTGTACTATTTCAAACCTACTCACTTTCCATTTAATTGGTTGTTATATTTTTCTCCTACGTTTAAGTAGAAATGGTCTCCCAAATTGGCTCTTAGCAATTAAAATTCAATATGCACCTCTAGTGATCGTTATTGTATACAAATGAAAACAAGACCTACTTTTTGTCAGACCTCCATGGAAAGATTTCAGCAAGAAATGAGTGGAGCATAATTACACTATGTAACAAAATTTGAGAGAGAAAAAAAATCTATTCCTGGTCTGAAAGTGTTTTTTTAACTGTTTAATTCTGCAAGACTTAGAAAGTCGTTGTTCTACTCCAGAAACGTTGTTTTTGTGATTGCCACAAACTATGCGGAATTGATGACAAGCTGGAATATGTCCAGAGGAGCGACTAAAATGATCAAGGGTCTGGAGAACAAGTCCTATGAGGAGCGGCTTAAGGAGCTGGGCATGTTTAGCCTGAAGAAGAGAAGGCTGAGAGGAGATATGATAGCCATGTATAAATATGTGAGAGGAAGCCACAGGGAGGAGGGAGCAAGCTTGTTTTCTGCTTCTGGAGACTAGGACACAGAACAATGGCTTCAAACTAGAGAGGAGATTCCATCTGAACATGAGGAAGAACTTCCTGACTGTGAGAGCCATTCAGCAATGGAACTCTCTGCCCCGGAGTGTGGTGGAGGCTCCTTCTTTGGAAGCTTTTAAACAGAGGCTGGATGGCCATCTGTCAGGGGTGTTTGAATGCAATATTCCTGCTTCTTGGCAGGGGGTTGGACTGGATGGCCCATGAGGTCTCTTCCAACTCTTTGATTCTATGATTCTATGATGGAGACTCTATGAGATATTCAGTGAAAAACTATAGCAAAAGGTGCTGCAGGATATCCCACAAAAATAAAGTTTTGTGTAGTTTAATAAACTTTTTTTGTGTTTCTTTGATAGAACCAATTAGGAAATGACATTTATAACCCAACAAAAATCATGTTACATAGTGTTATCTCTCTCTCCTCTTCTTCCCCCTTCTCCTTCTCTTCTTCTTTTCTCCCTCCTTCTCTCTCAATTCCAGAGAAACTTGGATCCCTAACTTTGAAAGCAGAGAAGCTTGCCCTGACAGAAATGAAGCAACGGGTCAAACTTGCAACTATTCTAGAAACTGTGAGCACGTGTTTAAAACTAGAAGAAAGTGAACTCAAGTGGAATGTGGATGGTATGTAGAGATGCCTAGCACAAAGAAGATGTTCTCATATGGCAGGGGTGGGCAACTATGAAGGGTTAGTGTTCTGGTATGGCTGTACCAGGAGCTCCAATTTTATTTGCTTTGTATTAAATGTTTGCTTGCAGCCCAAGGTTCCTGGGATTCTGCAGATAGGTGGCTTCCTTTGGTTGCATTCATAGGGCAAGTCACCTGTCCATCATCATTAAGTTTTGGTTCCGCCCCTTGCTCAGGGCAATTGCAAAGGGAAGGGAGCCATTTTTAGTTAGACTCAGCAAGGAAAGCTAATGTACAGGATGTGTGCAAGCTTCCCCTGTACAAAAGCTTCAACCCTTAAGACCTTCCGGGGGAGAACAGTCTTAAGAGTCTCCAAAGATTTCCAGGGAAACAGCCCTAAAGACCAAAGAACTCCAGCTGGAGAACATCTAAGCTTTTACTGGTAGGTCCACTCGGCGTTTGAGAAGCAGTTCGACCCGGTAGCGGAGCCCACATCAGTAAGGGTTAGATTACAGTCAGCCTGGGAGAAGTTAAAAAGGGGATTTTCCATTTAAAGTAAAGAAGAAGTTATTGAAGACAGTTGCCTGTCCTTCGTGGGCAAGTTTAGGAAGCTGCCAGTTGCATAAAAGCCTGGAATCATTTGTTTATCTTTCTGAAGACAAGAGAAGTTTCTATCTGATTGTTCATTAATAAAGGACTCTGCTATACTTCACAAGCCATCTAAAGCCTATTTGTGGTGGAAAACTTCTGTGAACTCCTCCTTGGGCCGCTGGCTTCCCGCTGGGCAGAGGTTGCACGTCCTGTTTTAAAGACAATTATTTACAGGCCCAGCTCGCGACAGAATAGTTAGCAACCTATTATCCTCCAAGAAACCTTGGAACCCCACTACAGTCACCTCCCCACCCCCAAGTCACTCTCTATGAACTATGCATTAGGGCTTCCCAGGCTATTTTAGGTCCAGGAGAGGCCCTTATTAACAGAAATTGAGCAGACATATATTTTTAGCAATAGGGAGTGAGATGGCAAGGTGAGGGAGGTAGTGAGAATATCTTCTATGTCTTCCAAAAAGCCATTTGGACATGCACACACCCACACCCACACATGAGGACTGAATGAAAAGTAATTCATCCACCTTCATAACTCCTCAACAGATGGCAGTACTGGTATGTGGCAGGTACTGGCTTGTTCAGTAGACTCTCCTCTACAGTTCCATTTTGGTGGGAAGCTTAGCATTGAACGGTTGTGTTGTTAAAGTGCAAGTATGAAACCCTGCACAGATGGTCAGTCAATGCGACTTAAGCAACATGCAGTCATTGAATTCTTGACAGCAGAAGGTGTCACCCCAAAGGAGATTCATCAGAGAATGCAAGCTGTTTATGGTGATTGTGTTGATGTGAGTATTGTGCATCATTGGGCGAGTAAGTTTAAAGATGTTGCGGTGGGAACACCTGACTGGCGTGACAAACAAAGAGTTGGGCGTCCTGTGACAGCAACCACCGAGTTTCACAAGCAAAAGGTTAACAGATTGATTCAGGACGATCATTGTATTTATTTATTATTTATTATTTATTTTATTTCGAGCTTTTATAACCCGGTCTTCTCGACCTCCGAAGAGGGACTCAGGCCGGCTAACAGCAGAGGGTTAAAATACAATAAGATAAACCACAGTAAACATCATAATACAATAGTACAAAAATACATTAAAATACAATTATACAACTTACAAAAGTTGCATAATTGAAATTTCTCTCATATCACTCAGAGAAATTTCAAGCATAATCAGCATTTCACAAGTATGTGTGGGTCACATTATTGCTTTGCTTGGCTATCGGAAGATCTGTGCACGAAGGGTACCCAGGATGAGAGAACTGCGAGACGCTGGTTGCGGAAAAAGAGTGTCAACTTCTTCTGTGACGGCTTCAGAAAACTTGTTCATCATTGGCAGAAATGTATCTGATTGTTTGGTGATTATGTGGAAAAGTGAATAGTGGTAGTTAAAGAACACATTCTAAGGATTATTTCTGCATTTGATTTATTTAAATATTCCCATTCAAACCCAAGTAACGAAGGTGGAGGCATTACTTTCATTCAACCCTCGTATATTGGGAATTCTTTTGGTAATTCCCTATATATATATGTGTGTGTGTGTGTGTGTGTATGTGTGTATATGTGTGTATGTGTATACACACACACACAAACACACACACATACCTTCTTGAACTTTGGAAATCTTCCCTCTTATTTCTTGAAATTAGCATTATCTAATGAGCATTTTGCATTACCAAAATCTTGAGATCTACCTGTTTATCTATCTATCTATCTTGGAAAGAGCAGAGAATGACTACAGGACTCCATCACCTCACTTCGTCCATTGTTTTCCTTTCACTTTGGGAAATGAGATAAAGGAGAAAGTTCTTCTAGACTACAATAGAACTGAACAAAGCAACATATAGTATATCTGCAATGTGGTTTTGGCAAAAATCCCACAACTAAATGCTCACATCCCTTCTGTGGCAATCTGTCTTCAGATATCCAGGAAGAAGGTATTCATACTGATGTCATGGATAGGAGGCCCTTCCAAACTAATGTGGTACATCGTAGTGTATATATACACATAGTTATAGTTTTAAAAGTCAATGTATGCTGAAGTTTAACATTTAAAATATACAAATTTATTCCTGTTACTCTTTCTGGGGTTCTTTCTCTCCTACTTGACATACTTCACCAAATAACAAACCTCTGGGGTCAAATCTGTTCCATAAATTGTGGTCCAGGAATAGCATCTTTTCCTTGCACTTTGACATTTTGTGCTGCTACATTGGTTATGACACTCACCTTCTTGAACTTTGGAAATCTTCCCTCTTGTTTCTTGAAATTAGCATTATCTAATGAGCATCCTCCACTGGATTCCTTCCCTATCTGAGCCACTATTCTTTCAGGCGGGCAAACTCTAATCTGAGGTGTCACCAGTTTCCAGATTCAGAGCTGGCAGATAATAACTAGCTAAATGGGACCTAATAGAAAAGGAAGAGATGGGAGGTCATAGGGCTGAATCAAGCGAAACTGAAGAAAAAAAACAGAACAAAAAATCTGCTAAAATAAAGAAGTTTTTTCCTAATATCTATTGCATAAGGAGAAAATACTTGATTTTTATGATGTATAAAAGGCCGATGGGCTCTTCCAATTAAAATCTAATAAATTAAAGTCATATTACATGATGATAATGATGATGATGATGATGATGATGATGATGTGTGTATGCATATGTGTGTATATTAGGCTTGTTTGGTTAAAAAAATGGTTCAAAACTAGTTTTGTTTGTAGGGGGCACTGGTGGTTCGATTCTAAAGTCAATTCCTATTTTCACAGAAAAAAATGTTCAAAACATTTCGAAACTTCTGAGACTTCAGAATCCTTACGTTAATTGTTTGAAAGTGTTATTTCCTGTTTCATTGGGTGGTCTTTACTTTGAAAGTAGTTGTTTTACTCCAGAAGCAGGGAAAAACAAGCAGAGGATATTCCTTCTTTCTCTAGTTTAAAACTGGCTTTTCTCGCTTGAGCCGAGGCCAGGAAATTCATTCCTTTTCTGGTTTAAAACTGGATTCTCTGGCTTGAGTCGAGGCCAGAAGTGGGGAAAAGCAAATAGAGGAAATTCCTTCCTTCTCTGGTTTAAAACTGGATTCTCTGGCTTTAAAACTGGCTTCTCTGGCTTGAGCCGAAGCCAGGAAATAACTTTCTTTTCTTGTTTAAAACCGGATTCTCTGGCTTGAGTCGAGGCCAGAAGAGGGGAAAAGCAAACGGAGGAAATTCCTTCCTTCTCTAGTTTAAAACTGGATTCTCTGGCTTTAAAACTGGCTTCTCTGGCTTGAGCCGAGGCCAGGGACCGAAGAAGGGAAAAGCTGAATCATTTCTGATTCAGTTCATGAGTCATAACAAAAATGGTAGAAGAATCTTTGGAAGGGCAAAGGGACTTCCAGTTTCCTTAAAAACTCCGAAATCGCTTCAAAAAGGTAGTTTTTCTGACTTTATTCCAAATTACGAAGATTACGAAGGTACCTAACCATGTCTAGTGTGTATATATATACACAAACAAACACACAGAGATATGTGTGTGTTTGTGTGTGTGTACACACACACACATACACCCTTGGGATTTGGTTCCAGGACTCTTTGCATTACCAAAATCTGTGAGTACTGAAGTCCCATTATATTCACTCGCCTAATAAAATGATGCAATTCTATAAATGGAAAAATCATGGTTGGCTGTTTGGGTGAATATTTTCAAGCTTTGGATGGTTGAATCCATGGATGCAGAATTCGTAGAGGGTCTATCTGTTGGCCGAAAAGAAAAAAGAGTTACAGAAGGCATGGATTAGGACACAATTTGGGACTTACATAACTCATCCGAAAGTCGTAGGTCAGTGTTTTGAATCTTAAGTTTTTTGCATGGCTGCCCCTCGCGATTCTAAATATTGCTTTGTATGTATGAATCGAATGAATGAGATACGATGAACAAGTTATAAACAAAATTTTGCACACCCTTCAAGTTAATATAGAAGCTAGACATAGTAGTTATCTTATACTTAATCAGCATTTCATGTGATTTGGTTTTAGCCATCTTGAAGAAGGATTTGCTAAGTACACTGCATCTCCTGGTGGCCCTTGCTGAGCACTTCCAGCCAAGACTTGCATTGCCCCCAAATGTTAAAGTGGACATAATCAACATAGAGGTAAGTTTCAAACATTTTTCTTTACAATTTCTGCCATTTTTCAGAACATTTTTTTACCCTCTTGGAAGTATCTTGTTACTAGATAAATTTCTATTATTATTGCTAGTTGCCACGCGTTGCTGTGGCCCATCTTCTTTCCCTCTTTCCTCCTTTCTCCTTCCTTCCCTTTTTTTTCTTTCATTCTCTCCTTCCTTCCTTCCCCCCTTTTCTTTCCCTTCCTCTTACTGTCCTTTCTTCCTTCTCTACCTATTCTTGGACTGCAACTCCCAGTAATCCTCCTGATCAATCTATCTACCTATCTACCTACCTACCTATCTACCTACCTATCTATCTATCTATCTATCTATCTATCTATCTATCTATCTGGAGGATTGCTGGGAGTTGTAGTCCAGGAATAGGAAATTGGAAATATGCAGGGATTGGGATGCTCTCAAAGAAATCCAAGGAGAAGAAAGCTTGCAGCTTGGAAGCAGTGCACTTGGATCATCTTGGGGATACTGGGAGCTGTAATCTGGAAGAAAGTGTGGATATGCTATTATGTGTTTTGTTTGCTAGGGGGAGGGGTTTTTTGCACATGCGCTGTAGCATCTTTTTGCTTTTTTGGCTTTTTAAAAAATAGATTTTTTATTTATGATAAAGAAAAAAAGTATATTTCCAAGTAAAGTGGGGGAACATAGTATATTAAAGAAAGTAGGAAACCAAGAAGATAGAGATAAGACAAAGAAAAAAACCCACCCAAAAATATGTGTATATTAAAATTCTATTAATGCTAAAAAAATAAAAATAAAAATAAAAATGAGGGAAAAGAGAAAAAAGAAAGAAAAAAATGAAAAATAAAATCTTGTGACTTCCTTCTAATCCTACACGGGTTCAACTTTATTGTCTATGTGATCTTCCTAGTTTTTTCTTAATTGTCCACTCTTGTAACCTATATTAATATACTTTCACAACTAATATTATTTGCTTCTCTTTTCTATCTATTCTTCCACCTGTACCCAGTTTGTTTGTTTAACCGGATTTCCTGTATTCTTTTTCAATAAGAAAGTTAATATGTCCATAGCTTTAATTTCATTTTTTGGCTTTTTAAGTCCCTTCCGTTGTGTTTTTTAGTGTTTTCATGAGTGATTGTCACTTGTTGGTCTGATAGGTGTGTTGTGTCCGAATTTGATGTCAATTAGTCCAGTGGTTTTTAGTTATGTTAATCCCACAAATGAACATTACATTTTTATTTATATAGATTATTATAAGTGAAGAGTCAGAATTTGGACATTTTACCTTTTTTGCATGACAGCTAGCATTCCCCAACAAAAATGCCCTAAAACTAACTTTTCCAGTGGTGACTCAATGATGAATTATGGAGCAAGGAGAAGGGGTTGCGGAGCAGAGAGAATATTCTTCCATTTGCTTTATAGCACTCTTCTTATATTACGGTACAGTATCCCTTCTATAAAGAGGTTTAGACCAGATGTGTTTTGGTTTCTGGATTATCTGAGATTTTGGAATATTTCCACATTCTTAAAGAGATAACCTGGAGGTGGGACCCAAGCCTACACATGAAATTCATTTAGAATTAATAGACACCTTTTACACAAAGCATATGTAGATGGACGATTTTGGAGTGTTTTGGATGTTGGGTTTCTAGATAATGGCTTGAGACAAGAATTGGCCCAATGGTTTCCTCCACAACTTCCTCTTCTTCACCATGCAGTAGACATAGCAACCTGTCTGAGCTTTTGCATGATGTAAAGAAGGGAGGCTGATTGTTCTGTCCTAGGTCCATTGAAGCTTTCAGACATCAGAGACCATAGACAGAACCTGGGCATCTTGCGATCCTCCATATACTGACATATCTATTATTTCTTCCCATGCCATCTTATACTTATTCAGTGAGTGTTGCAATCCAACAGGTCCAGCATGGGGTATTATCAAGATTATCAGTAGTTGGAAGCAACATATTATTCTTGCAGTTTGAATATGGATTTTTTTTTATCGCCAAAAGGTAGTGATGCTCATCTTTTCATGATGATGTTAACACAGGATTTTATAAATCTTTTTAGTTGTTAAACATTATATATAGGGCCCATTCAGTGCTAAAACATAATCCAATATGAGCAAATGCAATATATATATATATATATATATATATATATATATATATTATTTATTTACTTCATTTCTATCCCGCCCATTTCAGCCCGAAGGCAACTCAGGGCAGCGTGCAGACTGGCAACAATTAGATGCCATATTTATATACATATATCAGTTAAAAGCAATGAAATCTCATCATAAATATATATAAAATCCATAAAAACCATAAAAACTATCAAAATCTATAAAAAGCCCCAGTGTCTTCCAGACTAATTCCTCATCCGTTTACATTGTCTTGACCGTTCCATGTTCGTATTAAAATGTTTGTGTTTATCTGGTCATGCTGGAGCTCCAAACACTTGCTCAAAGAGCCAAGTTTTCACCCTTTTCCAAAAGGTCAGGATGGAGGGGTACAATCTAATATCCCTGGGAAGGGAGTTCCACAGTCGAGGGGCCACCACTGAGAAGGCCCTGTCTCTTGTCCCTGCCAGATGCACCTGTTAGGTAGGCGGGATCGAGAGCAGGGCCTCCCCAAACGATCTTAAATTCCTGGAAGGTTCATAGGGAGACATGCATCCAGATAGCTACGCTGGGTCAGAATTCCACAATCAATACTATCACAAATTAATTAAATATTAAATGTTGTAATTAATTGTTATGTATCACAATTAAATTATCACTTAATTATCAGATATTCATAGATTATTGGCAAACACTTTGGGACAATATGAAGTCAGCAGCTGACGTCAAGATTGACAGAGAATATATATTTTTAGTTTTTGGTGTTTTGCTGCTTCTTCAAGTTGTGTGTATATTTCTGCTCAAATAATGCCAAAAGCTGTTTAGACCAGGGGTCCTCAAACTTTTTAAACGGAGGGCCAGGTCACAGTCCCTCAAACTGTTGGAGGGCCAGATTATAATTTGAAAAAAAAAATGAATTAATCAGAGATTGAAGGAGTGTGAGAATAGCTAACAAGAAGGAGGTCACATGTCTTATTTGTAGTGCAAAAAACACTTAAAACAACACAATAATTAAAATGAAGAACAATGTCAACAAATATAAAATTATTAGTATTTCAATGGGAAGTGTGGGCCTACTTTTGGCTGATGATATAGGATTGTTGCTGTTGTTGTGTGCTTTCAAGTCATTTCAGACTTAGGTTGAACCTGAGTGAGGGCCAGGTAAATGACCTTGGAGGGCCGCATCCGGCCCCGGGCCATAGTTTGAGGACCCCTGGTTTAGACTATGCATGCTAGTAGAACCCCAGTTTGATTTCCTTTCCAAAAAAGGCATCAGATCCCAGACTCACTATTTGTTTAGAAGCAAGTCTGGGATCCCAGTTCAGTGTCGGCTGACACCATTAAAAGCTCTGGGGATATTTGGGGTCGAATCAGCAGGGGGAATAGAGATTATAGGCATTTACAGACTGTTTCCATTTTATCCACATATTTCTAACTTTTTATCTTTGGCATCCCTAAGAAATCCCCATCATAGAGTTTTCTTGGCAAGGATTGTTTAGAGGGTTTTGTTTGTGCCCAAGATCACTCAGTAGTTTTGTATGGCCAAGTGGGAATTCAGCTCCTTGTCTCCTGGTGTTTCAGTTCAACACTCAATCCACCACAACATATTGGCTCTCATATTTATGTAAATGTGGATTTAATTGTCTTGAAAAGCTGCCTTCATTTACAGCAACCCTAAAAGCATACACATCTCAGAATTCATAGGTCTGTGAGAAAGTGAAGTGAAAGGAGAGTTACATCCTTTTTCTGTCCTGCCAATTCTCCTTTTTCAAATTCTTTCACCACCACTTTTGATTATTAACAGAAAATAAAGAAACAAAACTGCTTTTTTCTTGTTGCCTAGGAGTTGTTCATAGTAATAAATGTCTAGACCAAACCAGTGAGACTCTTTTTACCCTGTCCATGACCACTGTAAATTCTAATCTTATTTATTCATGTATTACTCTTTGCTTTGTAATAGTTGAAATCTTCTCATTGGCTCTTACCATTCCCCATAATTTATCTAAAGCTTGATTTCTAATTCACAGCGCACTTCAAATGGACTGAAGACAGAAAATGCAATAGAGTTCATTACCAAGGACAGGTACAAAAAGTCATATTGTACTTGAAGTGTGATTGACATAGCCAATGAAATTGTTCTTTATGGTTCTTTGTTCTTGATAGAAAGCTATTTGGTTACTTGCTTTTGTAAATCGTATCTAGCTCTTTATTCAGGGGTTTTGGAAATAAAAGTCAGTTTGGCAATTTCTTAATTCATATTATTATTTTTCTGGTGACTGACCTGAGCAGCAAGCATGTACTCTGCTATGTGTCTAACATTGCTTAAAATAAACCCATGAAGACTTTGTTCATGCACTAAAATCCACAAACAACTGACACAAACTCAACATGTGAAATTGGTTATATGAGGGTTGAATGAAAAGTAATGCCTCCACCTTCGTAACTCCTGGTATGCTGCAGGTACTGGCTTATTCAGTAGACTCTCCTCTACAGTTCCATTTTGGAGGGAAGCCTTAGCATTGAATGGTTGTGTTGTTAAAGTGTGAAGTATGGAACCCTGCGCATACGGTCAGTCAATGCGACTTAAGCAACGTGCAGTCATTGAATTCTTGACAGCAGAAGGTGTCACCCCAAAGGAGATTTATCAGAGAATGCAAGCTGTTTATGGTGATTGTGTTGATGTGTGTACTGTGCGTCATTGCACAAGAAAGTTTAAAGATGTTGAGGTGGGAACATCAGACAAAGAGTTGGACGTCCTGTGACAGCAACCACTGAATTTCACAAGCAAAAGGTTGACAGATTGATTCAGGGCAATCGTATCACTCAGAGAGAAATTTCAATTATAATCGGCATTTCACAAGAACGTGTGGGTCACGTTATTGATTTTCTTTTGGCTATCGGAAAATCTGTGCATGATGGGTACCCAGGATGCTGACGCCTCACCACTGTACGACATCCTCCAAACAGTCCAGATTTAACACCATCTGACTTCCATCTGTTCCCGATAATGAAAGAAGATCTGTGGGGACATCATTATGCTTCTGATGAAGATGTTGAGAGAACTGTGAGATGCTGGTTGTGGAAACAGAGTGTCGACTTCTTCCGTGACGGCTTCAAAAAACCTGTTCATAGTTGGCAGAAATGCATCCAATTGTCTGGTGATTATGTGGAAAAGTGAATAGTGGTAGTTAAAGAGCACGTTCTAGGGCAGGGGTCCTCAAACTATGGCCCGGGGGCCGGATGCGGACCTCCAAGGTCATTTACCTGGCCCTCGCTCAGAGTCAACCTAAGTCTGAAACTACTTGAAAGCACACAACAACAACAACAATCCTATCTCATCAGGCAAAGTAGGCCCACACTTCCCATTGAAATACTAATAAGTTTATATTTGTTAAAATTGTTCTTCATTTTAATTATTGCATTGTTTGTATGTGTCTATTTCACTACAAATAAGATATGTGCAGTGTGCATAGGAATTCATATTTTTTTCAAGTTATAATCCGGCCCTCCAACAGTTTGAGGGACTATGACCTGGCCCTCTGTTTAAAAAGTTTGAGAACCCCTGTTCTAGGGGGTATTTCTGCGTTTGATTTATTAAAATATTCCCTTCCAAACCCAAGTAACGAAGGTGGAGGCATTACTTTTTATTCAGCCCTCATATATTGGGAATTCTTTTGGTAATTCCCAAGAGAGAGATATATATACCTTTTTGAACTTTGCAAATCTTCCCTCATACACTCATATGTGTACACATGCTTATTGGCCATATATTATTTACATTATATTAAAGTAGACAATGAAGACACTAAAATAGTTCAAGATTGTCTATATCTTGGTTTAGTCATTAATCAGAAAAGAGACTACTCTCGGGAAATCAGAAGAAGGCTAAGACTTTAAAGGGCACCTAGGAAGGACCTGGATAAGATCCTGTAGTATCAAGATATATAACTGAAAACTAAAATTAGGATCTCCATGCAGGGCCATTATTTTACCTGCAAACATAAAGAAATTACATATATTAGAAACCAACACTTTCTCATTACTTTATTTTCCAAATCACCAAACTGGGTCACAGCAACAGCTAGTAAATAATACTTTTCTCTGCGGCAAAGAACCAAGAAAGGGTGAATTTACACATAAGAAATAGAGGAAAGGCAAATATCAGGAGGGTAGGATGTGGGCAAATGGCCTCCAGCACTGTCTCATCTTAGAACACATATAGTCTACAAGACTATAAATATATTTGATATTGTACATAAATATCACTATAGTGTATCAAGCTTCAAGCAAGAAGAAAGGGATCCTGAACTGGCAAGCTTGACTTGTAGCTAAAAGAAATGGCATTATATATAATTTAGCTTGGAGCAAGTGACTCTTTCTTCAAAGGAAACATGCAAAGAATTCGGCCATGTAGATATTTATACCCAGAAGTAAGCTATTTGACGTAACAGGAGGGGTTAAATCTCATTGGTAATATTCACTAGAGCTTGTTGTTGTTCATTCGTTCAGTCGTCTCCGACTCTTTGTGACCTCATGGACCAGCCCACGCCAGAGCTCCCTGTCGGCCGTCACCACCCCCAGCTCCTTTAAGGTCAGTCCATTCACTAGAGCAGAGCCATTGAATCAGTTACATTTACCTATGTGTTAACATTCAAATCTTTATTTACTCTCGTGGGAACTAAAGCTGCATCTATACTGTACAATGAATGCAATTTGACACCAATTTAACTGTTGTGACTCAGTACTATGGAATTATGGGAAAGGATTGGTTAGTGGGCAGAACTCTTGGACAGAGAAGTACAAAGAGAGTGAATAAAATTACAACTCCTAGAAATCCATAGCTTTGACCCTCAACTGTTAAAAGTGGTATCGAACTGCACAATTCTACAATATAGATGCACCCTTCACAACAGGAGTTCAGCTCAGTTATTGTGGATTGCAATTAAAATCAGAATCAACCAGCCAATATTGCAAGTTTTCCAAATTCTGGTGCCAATGCAGGAGCTTTATTTTTTTGAATATGAATAAATTCAACTAACTTTTCTTTTTCTTTTTAACCTTTAGGGAATGCGAAGAAAGCTCTTCAAGTAAGTTGCAGAATTAAGGCATTGTTTCAGTGTTTCTACATCATGCCTCTCCTTTCATTAGCTATGTGATTATGGACAACCAATTAGTTCCCTGCAGACAGCTGTGTCGCAAATAGCTAATAGACAACAATTTTCTTGCATAAAAATAATTGTAATTTTGGGTTAACTGAACTTTGTACTATATCAGCAGAGAGAACTTCAAAAGTTTTCTTTTCCTTCTATTAGTATCTTTACCGAACACGAATGCACGCACAAACCACAAACACCCATTTAGCAACATAAAATGCATATAAGGGTTAAAACAGGGGCTTTCAGCGAAGACATGGAGCCATGAGGAGTGTCTCAGTGAGCTGACTGAACACTGGGATGTCTCAGGGGGTTTATCAACCATATGGAGTTGAGAAATACATTTTCAGAAAGAAAAAGGACAAATGCAAACTTCTCAAGACTTGAAGGCTTCCATCTTTCCCACTGATACAAGAGAAGGGGAGAGAGGAGGGGGAGACATCACACACCCCAGCAATGTTGTCATGCAAGCAGATGCAGACAAAAGCAACTCAGATTGACTTCTTAAATTACTTGATTTACACGAGGTTGAAGAAATTACTCAGTAATATGTCCAAAAGAACAGTTTAATACAAAGCAAAAGAGACTCGGAGACACTTACTTCAGTGTCTCTGGTCAAAACTCAAAAGTAGCAGCAATTATTAGCTTGAAAAGTAAACTAAAGCAATAATCCGGATTATCCAGGCAAAAAATCCGGATTAAACTGGAGTACTTCCAAAATCATGCAAAATCACACAGCAAATGGAAGACAATCAAACAAAGATCCGTGAAGAAGAGCCGTCGTCTCAATGAAGTCCGAAGTCGAAGAAAGTCCAAAGTTGCGAGGTTCCAAAGTCCACGAGGCAGCTTCGTTGTCAAAAGCAATCCGAAGTCAAGGAGAGGAGAAATTCGCACTTACGAGAATCCAAGCTGAGTTGACACACGAAGGTAAACAGCAACCTGCAGATCAAGGACCCAAGCCCAACACGAAAGTGGCAGCGACAAGACCCATGGCACAAAACCAACACTTTGCCTACTGCAAAGTTCTATCTTTCCAGTGCCTACTTTTATCTGACAACTCATCATCTGATGATGAGCTGCCCTCCACCCCGTTATCATCACTTTCAGCTGGTTTAGCTTCCACAGCTGAGCGCCAACGCCCATCCCTCCAACTCTTCCACCTCTTGTCAAGACTTAGATCTCCCCAGGATTCCACAGTATCACCCAATTGCCAATCCCCTCCACCAGAAAACCCTGCAAACTTATCACTAGATGTTGGTTGAGTACACACATCCCGAACCTCTTGCACCTTGGTCCAATCCAGTGAGTCATCCTCATCCCCATCACTCCCAGACCCATAATTCCCAGAAAAACCCATGAAATTCTCTTCATCTGTGGGAGCAGTAAGTATATCCCAGATCTTCTTTCTCTGTCGCTCCTGCTCCCGAGTAATCCTCTTAGTTCACCTATTCACATCCACTATATCTCCTTCCTCCTCCTCACTCATTTCACTCTCAGAAAACCCTTCGAAAGACTCTTAATCAGTGGGTGACATCAGTATCTCCCGGATCCTCTTCTTCTGCTGTTCCTCATCTAACTCCTGAGCACCCCTTTTCCCTCCTCTGACACTCCTACTACCAGTTGCAGTGTTGCCAACCGACTCTACTGCAACAGCGGAAGAAGATGCAGATCAAGAATAGGGCTCCACAGTCACCTATGGACCCACCAGAACACTGATCCTGGAAGACTATCCTACTCAGCCAATGAGGGATCACCTGAGTAAGTATGTGGAGAAACTGCAAGTTGCTTCTGTTATGAGAAAATTGGCTGTCTGCAAAGACACTGGAAATTTGTTCGAAATTAAAAGGCAAAAAGCAACACATAGACTACTTATTGAGTTTCTGGAAGACTACAGATACTTTATTTGGCTGTATGTGCAGTGCTATGTCAGTAGTTTTCAAACTAGGTTGGAGGAATATAGTGCCTCAGGCATTTGTTTTGAGTCCCATTGAGTTAGAGTATGGGGAGTTCCTCATTAAGAATACATTTCAGTGGCTGATTAATTTTTAATTGATTAATTTAATCGTTATTATCAGCCTGATGTTGCACTAACAAGAGTTGTTGACATGTATTTATTTTTGCAGAATAACACTATCAGTAGGGGTGACGTTTAGACTAAAATAAATACAAAAGACAGATCTCTGTCCAAAGGAGCCCACAGTCTAGATTTCTATAGTATATAATGACTATGGAAGGAAAAGATGCAAAAAACATGGAGAGAGGTGAGAAATGCATTGTATTCACAAGCCCATAGATGAGCCATATGGCCAAAGCTTGCAAAACAGCAACCGCAACAACAACAACAACAACAACAACATATTTGGGTCTGCCAATTCCCAAAATCTTTCAGACAATATTCTTTGCCTATATGACAAATACTCCATCACTTTGTGCGTTGTTAATGAATTAGAATATAAATAAATAATAGGCCTGTGCGGTTTCGTTCGTTAATTCGTTAAACATTCGTTAATTTTTGCATATACGAAACGATAACAAAACATATTTTCAAACCCGGAAGGGTTTTTAAATATCGAAACGGCAGGCGCCAAAAAATTTTGTATTTCCGTCCATTTCGGAAATACGTAAGATGGCCGCCTGGCTTGCTGGGAGCTCTCCTCTCTCCGCGCCGGCTGAGCAAGCGAGCGAGAGGGCGAGCGAGAGGGCGAGGGCGAGCGGCGAGCGAGAGGGCGAGCGGAGAGGGCGAGCGAGAGGGCGAGTGAGAGGGCGAGCGGCGAGCGAGAGGGCGAGTGAGAGGGCGAGGCGAGCGAGAGGGCGAGCGGCGAGCGCGAGGGCGAGCGGCGACGAGAGGGCGAGTGAGAGGGTGAGCGGCGAGCGAGAGGGCGAGCGGGAGAGGGCGAGCGGCGAGCGAGAGTGAGGGCGAGCGGCGAGCGAGAGGGCGAGCGGCGAGCGAGAGGGCGAGTGAGAGGGCGAGCGGCGAGCGAGAGGGCGAGTGAGAGGGCGAGCGGCGAGCGAGAGGGCGAGTGAGAGGGCGAGCGGCGAGCGAGAGGGCGAGCGGCGAGCGAGAGGGCGAGCGAGAGGGCGAGCGGCGAGCGAGAGGGCGAGCGGCGAGCGAGAGGGCGAGTGAGAGGGCGAGCGGCGAGCGAGAGGGCGAGGGCGAGCGAGAGGGCGAGCGGCGAGCGAGAGGGCGAGCGGCAAGCGAGAGGGCGAGTGAGAGGGCGAGCGGCGAGCGAGAGGGCGAGCGGCGAGCGAGAGGGCGAGTGAGAGGGCGAGCGGCGAGCGAGAGGGCGAGCGGCGAGCGAGAGGGCCCGCCAGAGTGAGTGCCTGCCTTCCCTTAATTTCTCCTCCCTATTCTACTAAATTATTTAATAATTAAATTTAAAAAATATTTAAAAAATATTGAAAAAAAAAAGGCCCCATCTTTACAAAATGTTTTGTTAATATTTACGAAATTTCGTAAATACCGAAACTTTTTTTTGGAAAGTTTTGTAATTATTTTAAATATCGAAACAAAAAAACACCCCAATTACAAATCGATTTTAGAAACAAATTTTTTCTTGATCAAACAGGCCTAATAAATAAGTCTTGTATTGTAATACCTAATGTAAAAACATTCTCCACAACCACTTTGTTGTAGAAGCTGAGATTTTTGATGACTTATTGAAACATGCCCCAGAGAAACTGGATGCTGTAAAAGAGGTAACGTATACACCCTGTTATTTTTATGGTACTTTATTGTATATCATGAGTCTGTGACTCTATGTATACAACCAAGATGCACACTAATTTCTTGTTGTTTTCATTTGTTTAGGTACTTCTGAAATTTGTCAACAAGCACGTTGAGAAATTAGGGTTAACTGTAAAAGACATAAATGCACAGGTAAAATCCTTTGGCATGTTTAATTAATCTGCTTTGTGGTGTTGATCATCATAACAGCTAATAATGCTTTGTAGTTTCCCTCCTAACAACCATTGCTATGCTTTGTTTTACTGTTTTTAATGATTTTATGCTGTTTTTAACCTATTGTTTGAATGGGATTATTTTAACTGTGTTTTAAATCACTATGAACCACTGCGGAAACGAAAATCTTCTGGGGAGGCCCTGCTCTCGGTCCCGCCACCATCATAGGCGCATTTGGCGGGGACGACAGACAGGGCCTTCTCAGTGATTGCCCTCCGGTTATGGAACTCCCTTCCTGACAATATTAGATCAGCCCCCTCCCTCCTGTGCTTCAGGATGGTGAAGACCTGGCTATGGGACCAAGCCTTCGGGACACTACAATGAGGCAAAATGATGTCCTGAGGTGGGTTTTAAGCAACTTTTAAAGTGGATATAAGTGATTTTAGTGTTTGTATATATTTATGGTTTTATGTCCCGGCATTGAATGTTTGCCGTATATATGTTGTGCTCTGCCCTGAGTCCCCTGCGGGGTGAGAAGGGCAGAATATATATGTTTTAGATAAATAAATCATAATTGCTCTTAGCTGATTCTTTTTGAGAGCCTCCTTGGGACTTACTCTGAGAGAAAGGTGGTAAATAAATAAACAAACAAACAAGCTGTATTGAACAATGCACTATAGAAAAAGGTTTTCCTCGGACAAGAAGTCCAGTTGTGTCCGACTCTGGGGTGTGGTACTCATCTCCATTTCTAAGCCGAAGAGCCAGCGTTGTCCGTAGACACCTCCAAAGTCATGTGGCCGGCATGACTGCATGGAGTGTCTATAGCTCTCTTTTTACAGATGGTTTGAGGCAGTGTTTGATTAAAGATAGTGTAAGCAGAAAAGACTATGATGTTCCTGGACTGTGCAACTTCAGATTATGGGCGGTATTGTGTTCATATGTGTCTTCAAGTCAGCTGTCACTTTATGGTGACTCTGAAATTTTTTGGATGAAAACGTATTGACTTACAGTCAAATATATATGGAATATGCTCAGGATCTTTGTGGTGTCTTTTAGTTTGCAGACGGTGTTATTTTGATCTTGCTAATTGGGCAGCTCCAAGGCTATTTTCTGAACTTGGGAGAGTTCTTCCTGAATCCAACTTCTGTTTCTGAAAAGGTGTGTTATTCTTTTGTTAGCTTTAGTACTTTGGTCTAATTCCTAATCAAGAAATTTATCTAGATCACCTATATACCGCTTGGGTGCCCTATTCAACACCAAACCTCTGTTTGGATCTTATGTGCTTTGAACTCGCTATGTCTTGAGTGCAGGACACACGCCGTACACAAATTAAGAGCTCACAGGAAAATGATATGTGATGCCTACACTGTACTTTCTGCATTTCATTCTTCCCTTTCGGACTTATGGTGACCCTAAGATGAATCTATCACATGTTTTTCCTGGGACAAGGAGAGTTTGACTTGTCTGGTGTCTGCAATGGGCTTTTACACTACTACTGATGCCCTTCCAGATTTTGCCTTTAATTATATTGCTGTTCTAACAGTAGAGGACCACCCTGAAAAAGACTCTCTGTATTATGTTCTGGGATTTCCAGACTGGTGGAATCTTTATAGGGTCTTTAACATCAGACATTGAAGCTCCACGGTTTGTTTAGTGTAGAGAGTAGGGCTGGTTGATCAAGAAAAAATTTGGTTCTAAAATCGATTTGTAATTGGGGTGTTTTTTTGTTTCGATATTTAAAATAATTACAAAATTTCCCCCTACAATCCGTTAATATTTACGAAAATTTCATAAATATTAACGAATCGATTCGTTAATGGCGGACGCGATTGCGCAATATGCTAAAAAAAACCTCCAAACGGGACAGGGGGAACTTCTGAAGCTTCCTTCTCCCTCTGTTGTTGACTGTTGGTGTGATAAAACAACAACAACTATATTATATTATATTATATTATATTATATTATATATTATATTATATTATATATTATATTATATTATATTATATTATATTATTATATTATTTGTATATTATATTATATTATTATAATATTATTATTATATTATATTGTATTATTATTGTATATTATATTATATATATTATTATATATTATATTATATTATATTATTATTGTATATTATATTATATATTATAATATATTATACATATTATATTATATTATATTATATATTATTATATAATATTATTATAATATTATTATATTATAGTATATTATTTTATATATTATAATATATTATACATATATTATATTATATATTATTATATTATTATTATAACAACAAAAATAGCTAGAAGCACTTAATTTAGTGATCTACTTCTAGTATCAAGAACTAAAGTCTGTAGCAAATTGCTGTGCCAAAAACATAATTTAGCAAATAATCCAGATTATCCTGTATATAATCTGGGATAAGAGCAGTTCAAGCAAACTGCTTCAGAATCACAGGGTTAGAAAACATTGGGTGGAAGCAAGGAAAAGTGTTCTCAAAAAACTGTCCCAAGCCCACACAGCATGCCCAAAAGCAGAAGATTAAGTCAGAATGAAATGTCCATCCAAAAACAATCCGATGTAAGAATCCAGTCTTTAAACCGCTTTGAAACGGCTTGTCTCAACCCAGGTAAAACTCTTCCTTGGCCAGCAGCTTAAAACTTCTAATATAATATAATATAATATAATATAATATAATATAATATAATATAATATAATATAATATAATATAATATAATTATTATTAAGAATGGATGGACCAGTCAGGGGTGCTTTAATATACAATTATATTAATATAATACAATATACAATAATATATAATATAATATAATATAATATAATATAATATAGTAATATAATATATAATAACATAATATAATATAATATACAATAATATATTGTAATAATATAATATAATATTATTATAGTATATTATTATTGTATATTATATTATATTATTATTATTATATTACATTATATTACATTAAACCGTTTCAAACCGGTTTAAAGACTGGATTCTTACTTCGGATTGTTTTTGGATGTTTCCTTCTGACTTAATCTTCTGCTTTTGGACATGCTGTGGTCTTGGGACATATTATATAGATATAATATGATATATTATAATATAATATATACAATTATAATATAATATATGTTATAAATAATAATGCACAATTATAACATATAATATAATATAATGATATAATATACAATAATAATATAATATATGTTATAATGTAGTAATATAATATATAATAACATAATATAATATACAATAATATTATATTATTATTGTATATTATATTATATATAATATATTATAATATATATTATATTATATTATTATACTATATTATAATTAAGCTGTTCCTCCTAATCCTCCTCCTCCTCCTGATTCTTCTCCTCCAGCTGGCTACAGGATTCTGAGTTATATGGCTGTGTGGAAAAAGCTGGGTTATGTGAGGCCACACTGCCATATAATCCAGTTTAAAGCACGTTTTGGGGGATTTTGTGCTTTGAGATTCTGAGTTATATGGCTGTGTGGAAAGATGGTGAGGCCACACTGCCATATAATCCAGTTTAAAGCCTGTTTTGGGGGATTTTGTGCTTTGAGATTCTGAGTTATATGGCTGTGTGGAAAAAGCCGGGTTATGTGAGGCCACACTGCCATATAATCCAGTTTAAAGCCCGTTTTGGGGGATTTTGTGCTTTGAGATTCTGAGTTATATGGCTGTGTGGAAAAAGCTGGGTTATGTGAGGACACACTGCCATATAATCCAGTTTAAAGCCCGTTTTGGGGGATTTTGTGCTTTGAGATTCTGAGTTATATGGCTGTGTGGAAAAAGCTGGGTTATGTGAGGCCACACTGCCATATAATCCAGTTTAAAGCCCGTTTTGGGGGATTTTGTGCTTTGAGATTCTGAGTTATATGGCTGTGTGGAAAAAGCTGGGTTATGTGAGGCCACACTGCCATATAATCCAGTTTAAAGCCCGTTTTGGGGGATTTTGTGCTTTGGCTGTGTGGAAAAAGCTGGGTTATGTGAGGCCACACTGCCATATAATCCAGTTTAAAGCCCGTTTTGGGGGATTTTGGGCTTTGAGATTCTGAGTTATAGGGCTGTGTGGAAAAAGCTGGGTTATGTGAGGCCACACTGCCATATAATCCAGTTTAAAGCCTGTTTTGGGGGATTTTGGGCTTTGAGATTCTGAGTTATTGGGCTGTGTGGAAAAAGCTGGGTTATGTGAGGCCACACTGCCATATAATCCAGTTTAAAGCCCGTTTTGGGGGATTTTGTGCTTTGAGATTCTGAGTTATATGGCTGTGTGGAAAAAGCTGGGTTATGTGAGGCCACACTGCCATATAATCCAGTTTAAAGCCCGTTTTGGGGGATTTTGTGCTTTGAGATTCTGAGTTATATATGGCTGTGTGGAAAAAGCTGGGTTATGTGAGGCCACACTGCCATATAATCCAGTTTAAAGCCCGTTTTGGGGGATTTTGTGCTTTGAGATTCTGAGTTATATGGCTGTGTGGAAAAAGCTGGGTTATGTGAGGCCACATTCCTGATAGTTCGGCTGATCGGCTGATCAGTAAACATATTCATGAATTTCCTGCTGTTATATTAAGACTCTTACCCATGCTGTGACAGTAATCTCCCCCCCCCCCATTTAAAAAGTTTGAAGACCCCTGATATATAGTAATAAATAATAGTTTGAAGCTGCTGCCCAGGAAGACAGCATGAGGAAAGAGGAGGGAAGCAGCAGAGCAAAGGTGGCTGGCAGGAGGGGAGAGACTGGAAGTGGGGCATATGCGCCGCTTGCTAGCTTGCTACCGGGGAGGGAAACACGATGCTTGGGAGCGCCGGATTGGCTCCCAGGGCACCAGCAGCCTCCATCCCATTTACGAAACGGGCGGAAGCTCGTTAAAACAATGGGGGTTGCCGGTTCGTTATTTTTAAACCCTTCCGGGTTTGAAAATGTGTTTTGTTATCATTTCGTAAATGCTAAAAATAACGAATGTTTAACGAATTAACGAATTAATGAACGAAACCGCCCAGGCCTAGTAGAGAGTAGTGTTGTTGTTCATTCGTTCAGTCGTCTCTGACTCTTCGTGACCTCATGGACCATCCCACGCCAGAGCTCCCTGTCGGCCATCCCCACCCCCAGCTCCTTCAAGGTCAGTCCAGTCACTTCAAGGATGCCATCCATCCATCTTGCCCTTGGTCGGCCCCTCTTCCTTTTGCCTTCCACTTTCCCCAGCATAATTGTCTTCTCTAGGCTTTGCTGTCTCCAGAGAGTAGTACCCAGGACAAAAAAACTTCTGGAAAAAGAAGGAAAAATAAAATAACTCAACAGCACTATGTTACATGGAATTTCAATCCCCTTTGCTAGGAAGGTATGGAATATATTTACTTAGCACAGGGTAGTAAACCTTTGGCCCTCCAGCTCTTCTACACTCCTCAAAAATAAACTAACATGGTCAGTTGGAAGAAATTTTGGGAGACGTTGTCCAAAACATCTGAAGTTTTTCTCTTCCCAACTTTTGAAGTTTCAAATGGCTTATTCACAGTGAAGTATGCATGGATGGGACTATTGTGTGTTGAATCCTATCCAAAGCACCCCCCATTGCCTAGCAAAGCAATCATTCTAGGGGAAAATGTTTTAAAATGTTTAAAATTTAGGGAGGCATTGCAGGTGGTCCACTTCTCTAGGATTCTATGGGAATCCAATCTGCACATTAAAAAATCTTGACAGTTGCCTACCTGTACTTTATTCCCTGATAATTGTTGATAGTTGTATCGGTGAGTTTACTCCCTCTTTTGAGAACTAGAACCACACTTATTTTGTTAATCTTTCTTAGATACACAATGTTAATCTTGCTGTAGAGTTGCTTATGGATGAAGGTCTTCTAGACACTCCTATCAACCCTGAAGGTCAGTCATTGTAGGTAGAGAACATTGCTGTAGGCCATACTCGGATAATTTGTATTTGCTCAGAGTATGCTGTTCTAACTTTTGAAGAGTTTAATGTGTTGAAACTGTAAAACAGTGTTGATAAAATGGAAAGGAAATCTGATTTTAAAATGAATGTCATACAGTAGGGTCTTGGTATCTATTGGAAGTCAGTCCCAGAACCACCAGTGGTGACTAAAATGGCAGATGCCTGGATATTATTATGTAGAGTGGCATAGTCCCGTAGACACCTCCAAGGCCATGTGGCCGGCATGACTGCATGGAGCGCTGTTATCTTCCCGCTGGAGCAGTACCTATTGATCTACTCACATTTGCATGTTTTCAAACTGCTAGGTTCCACTCAAATGTGGCAATACAGTCTTTCTTTTTCAATTTAGTTAGTACTTAACTCATCTGTTTTGTATTCCTTATGTCTTCCTAGATGTTGTGAACCAAGATACAAATGCCACATTGCTGCTCCTATACTGCCTATTTTCCAAATTCAAGGCCAAAGAAAAATGAAGAACAAAACCAGAAGGCTCATCTCAAACACAGTTTTGCCACTGAATTATCTGATTTCAAATGTCAACATTTCTTTGATGCTTTGCAACTATAGAAGCTTGATATCAATACATTATCTATGCACTGCGATATAGATGTGTTTGAGGATTCAAAGACGAAACCTGGTGAATATTGAGATTAATCAATAATTGGGAAGGTTTTAAGAGGACGAAAAAGAAACACCCAAATTACTTTTTTTATGAGCTTTGAACAATGTGATACTCTGGGTTGTTGTAGGTTTTTTCGGGCTATATGGCCATGGTCTGGAGGCATTTTCTCCTGACGTTTCACCTGCATCTATGGCAAGCATCCTCAGAGGTAGTGAGGTACTCCTTTTCTACTATTGTGATACTCCTTTTCTACTATTCAATGAGGTCACATTTTGTAATTGTGAAAGTAAAAGTAATACTTCATACTTCACTGGAGTATTGTTACTAGAGGAATGTATTCAATAGAGTCAACTAGTTAACTAGTTAATTTGTAGCTATTGGTTTTTAAACTCCGAGACCTACTAACATGTGCAACAAACAAAACCACAAATGAAAAATAAACAAAACAAGTGTATTGTGATCATTTCCCCTTTTCCAAATGCTTTTGTGGTTTCTTAAAGCATTGTCATATATGCATTCAAGTTGTGTGAATATTTGTGTGATGAGCTAAGATGGCTGTAAAAAAAAAAAGAAGGAGCAGAGTGTTCTTGTTTTTAAAGAAATTTGACGTCCTTTAGTCTGCATTTGACCTTTAATCACATTCACTGTCTGAGTATTAATGGAAAATCTAGGAAGTTGAAGGCTTTTTGATTGCTGACATTTAGAGTCGAGGATTTGTTTTGTCTGGCTCTTCATCAGAAAGTTGAAAAGAACTGCTCAGATGGCAGTATTGATTATGAAGAACTCAAAAGCAGGAACCATATAAAAAGAGCATGGAAAATATCAAACAGAATAGCATTATTTAGCATTATTTCTCAGTTCCAGGTTTGTCTTGAAAACAGTCATTTGAGTGAAATGCCCCTCTCCTCCATGAAACATGGGGGAGTCTGAGTGTGAGATATTTAAAAACAGGTTTGATGCCGCATGTCTGAATGTGCAATATTTAAAAACAGGTTTAATGCCATTGTTTTGGTTTTTTTAATGTTGCTTTTTCTCATGTAATTCATTTCTTGAATGAATTACATGAGAGGCATCATGTGACACTGCAGTCATTTGCCTAAGAGACACAACTCCAGGTATTCTTGGGAGACCTGGATTATCTGGATTCGGCACAGTCTGGTTTCAGACCGGGACATGGAACTGAGACAGTCTTGGTCGCCTTAGTGGATGATCTGCGCCAGGAGCTCGACAGGGGGAGTGTGTCCCTGTTGGTGCTGCTGGACCTCTCAGCAGACCGAGACAGCCTTGGTCGCCTTAGTGGATGATCTGCGCCGGGAGCTCAACAGGGGGAGTGTGTCCCTGTTGGTGCTGCTGGACCTCTCAGCGGCCTTCGATACCGTCGACCACGGTATCCTTCTGGAACGCCTCGCGGGGATGGGTCTCGGGGGCACTGTTTTACAGTGGCTCCGGTCATTCCTGGAGGGCCGATCCCAGAAGGTGTTATTGGGGGACACCTGTTCAACCCCACAACCTTTGTCTTGTGGGGTTCCACAGGGCTCAATACTGTCTCCCATGAAGCCGCTGGGAGAGATCATCTGGAGTTTCGGGGTACGGTGTCATCTGTACGCAGATGATGTCCAACTCTGTCACTCCTTTCCACCTGCTACTAAGGAGGCTGTCGAGGTCCTGAACCGGTGCCTGGCCGCTGTGACGGTCTGGATGAGGGCGAACAAATTGAAATTGAATCCAGACAAGACAGAGGTACTCCTGGTCAGTCGCAAGGCCGAACAGGGCATAGGGTTACAGCCTGTGCTGGATGGGGTCGCACTCCCCTGAAGACGCAGGTTCGCAGCTTGGGTGTGATCCTGGATTCATCGCTGAGCCTGGAGCCCCAGGTCTCAGCGGTGACCAGGGGAGCATTTGCACAGCTAAGGCTCGTGCGCCAGCTGCGCCCATACCTTGGGAAGTCTGACTTGGCTACGGTAGTCCACGCTCTGGTTACATCCCGTTTAGACTACTGCAACGCTCTCTACGTGGGGTTGCCTTTGAAGACAGCCCGGAAGCTTCAATTGGTCCAACATGCGGCAGCCATGATACTAACAGGAGCAGGACGCAGGGAGCATACAATCCCCTTGTTGTACCAGCTCCACTGGCTGCCGATTTGCTACCGGGCTCAATTCAAGGTGCTGGCGTTGGCCTATAAAGCCTTAAACGGTTCCGGCCCAAGATACCTATCCGACCGCATCTCAACCTACGAGCCCACCAGGACTTTGAGATCTTCCGGGGAGGCCCTGCTCTCGATCCCGCCTGCTTCACAGGCACGGCTGGCGGGGACGAGAGATAGGGCCTTCTCGGTGGTGGCTCCTCGGCTGTGGAACACCCTTCCCGTGGACATCAGACTGGCTCCTTCCCTGATGATATTCCGCAGGAAATTAAAGACTTGGTTGTTCAAGAAGGCGTTCGAACAAGAAGTGCAATGATTGGTAATGACTATAGGAATGGAACAACGGAAAATGATACTGGATTGTGGTTTGGACGATGAGACGAAGCTGAATGGTTTTTGTAGTAATGACGATGTTTTTGTATAATGCTGGATTGTGAATTGTTTTTATACTGTGTCTTGAATTTTGTTCTTCCTATGTTGTACACCGCTGTGAGTCGCCCCCGGGCTGAGAACAGCGGTATATAAGCAAAGTAAATAAATAAATAAGTAAATAAATTCGGGGTAGTGGTTTGAGTGTTGGGTTCAAATCTCAGTTTGGCCATGGAAACCTCCAGAGTCACCCTGAACAAATCACACTTTTTCAGCTTCTGAGAAATAATAATAATAATAATAATAATAATAATAATAATAATAATAATAATTATTGATGTGCCATACCCAGGTGATAGTCGCATTGAGGAAAAACAACAGGAAAAACTCAGCCGCTATCAAGACCTCAAAATCGAACTGCAAAGGCTCTAGCATAAACCAGTACAGGTGGTCCCAGTGGTCATTGGCACACTGGGTGCCATGCCAAAAGATCTCAGTTGGCATTTGGAAACAATAAACAGCGACAAAATCATGATCTGTCAACTGCAAAAGGCCACCTTACTTGGATTTGCTCACATCATTCGAAAATACATCACACAGTCCTAGATGCTTGGGAAGTGTTTGACTTGTGATTTTGTGATATGAAATCCAGCATATAGATCTCGTTTGCTGTGACATACTGTGCTTTTGTGTCAATAATAATAATCTTTATTTATAACCCACTACCATCTCCCCAAAGGGGACTCGGGGCAGATAACGTAAGGCCAAGCCCAAAATAATACAACATAATTAGACACAAAATAGCAGGGAAATACATCAGGGGAGATCAGGCAAGCCCCTGCCCTTGCAGCCTTCAAGAAAGATCTAAACACTTGGCTGTTCCGATGTGCCTTCAGAGAGTGACCACTCAACTCATTTGTTTGTTTCCACCTACAGTTGTCCTCATGATAAAGCACCTTCCCCTGTCTCCATAAAGGCCAAATCCATTGCTCCTCTCTCATAAATGCACTTTTATTCCTATGTCACCCAAAGTTTTAACCTTTTAACATTTTATCTCATACACCTGGCCCGCCCTTTCTGTATGATTTTACTATGCCATTTTATATTGTTTATTTTATTTGTTATTTTATATAAAATAAATAATTAAAAATACATTTTAAACTAGATTAGTCAGGGCTGGGTGAACTAAATGCTGCAATTGCAACCAGAAGACAGAAGGGGGAATTACCAAGACAGTGTGATGCAGTGGTTTGAGTGTTGGACTAGGACTTTGGAAGGCCAGGATTGGAATCATCACTGAACCCATTGGGTGGCCTTGGGCAAGGCATTCCCTCGCAGCTTCACCACCTTATCACATTGAGATTTTTCCCAGTCGTAGGCAGGGAGTTTCAGAAAAACATCTATTTCTGTTTTATTGACTGTTCTAAAACCTTTGACTGTGTGGATCATAATAAATTGTGGCAAGTTCTTGGTGGTATGGGTATACCAAATCACCTTATCTCTCTCCTGAGGAATCTGTATAAGGACCAAGTAGCAACAGTAAGAATTGACCACTGAACAACAGACTGGTTCAAGATTGGGAATGGTGTACGGTAGGGTTGTATACTCTCAGCCAACCTATTCAACTTGTATGCAGAACACATCATGCGATGTGTGGGGCTTGGAGAATGCAAGGCTGGGGTGAAAATTGCTGGAAGAAACATTAACAACCTTAGATATGCAGATGACACCACTTTGATGGCCAAAAGTGAAGAGGAGCTGAGGAGCCTTCTAATCAAGGTGAAAGAAGAAAGTGCAAAAGCTGGGTTGCAGTTAAACATTATGGCAACAAGAATAACTGATAACTGGGAAATAGAGGGAGAAAACATGGAGGCAGTGACAGACTTTGCATTTCTAGGTGCAAAGATGACTGCAGACACAGACTGCAGCCAGGAAATCAGGAGACGCTTACTTCTTGGGAGGAGAGCAATGTCCAATCTCAATAAAATAGTGAAGAGTAGAGACATCACACTGGCAACAAAGATCCACATAGTTAAAGCAATGGTATTCCACATAGTCATCTATGGATATGATTGCTTTTTTTGTGTTGTGTCAGGAGCAACCTGAGAAACTGCAAGTCGCTTCTGGTGTGAGAGAATTGGCCGTCTGCAAGGACGTTGCCCAGGGGATGCCCGGATGATTTGATGTTTTATCATCCTTGTGGGAGGCTTCTCTCATGTCCCCAAATGAGGAGCTGGAGCTGATAGAGGGAGCTCATCTGCCTCTCCCCGGATTCGAACCTGCGACCTGTCGGGCTTCAGTCCTGCTGGCACAGGGGTTTAACCCATTGTGCCACTGGGGGCTCCGATGTGATTGCTGGACCATAGGGAAGGCTGAGTGAAGGAAGATAGATCCTTTTGAATTGTGGTGTTGGAGGAAAGTTCTGAGAGTGCCTTGGACTGCGAGAAGATCCAACCAGTCAATACTTCAGGAAATAACCCGACTGCTCATTGTAGGGAAGGATAGTAGAGGCCAAGATAAAGTATTCTGGCCACATCCTGAAAAGAAAGGAAAGCTTAGAGAAGACAATTATGCTGGGGAAAATGGAAGGAAAAAGGAAGAGGGGCTGACCAAGGGCAAGATGGATGGATGGGATCCCCAAAGTGACTGGGTTGACCTTGAAGGAGCTGGGGGTGGTGATGGCTGACAGGGAGCTCTGGCATAGGCTGGTCCATGAGGTCACGAAGAGTTGGAAATGATTGAATGAGTGAACAACAACAGGACACTTCAGCCTCTTTTCAAGTATGAAGAGGCATGGAGCTTATCACATGTTCCAGGTTTGAAAAGTGGTTTGACAGATAGCTTGGACTTGAATCGTGTAGGGCTTTATAGGTAACAACCAGCACTTTGTATTTTGCCTGGAAGCAGAGTAGCAGCCAGTGGAGCAGGTGCAACATGGGAGTTGCAGAGGAGCCTAGCTTGATAAGTTATCTATATAAATTGCTCCAACTTGCAAAAAA